TATTAACCAATGGAGGCCTGGATTTGGAGCCACACACAAAATTAAAGTGGAGTGCTCCCTTTATTTTTTTGAGCAGTGTACATATTTATGCTTTTATTTCTTATTTCGGTTTTGGACCTCCGTAGCAGCTGTTTATTTATACATTTTAAAGGTAAAGTTAATTTCATTTATATTCCACAGTTTCAGCAAGAAGGCAACACAAGGTTCTTAAATTACTTTTTGGTAGACATCGTTTTGAAGAGGGTTGGAGCAGAGAAAACAGGTGTTTCTAGCGGTCAGGTAAGTCTTCACATTAATCACGTGAGCTCCTTTCCTCTCTAGTGTGACTATATCAAAACCTTCCCCCACCAGATTGTGGCCTGGTACAAAAGGAGCAGCATCACACTCTGTTTGGGTCCCGATCCGACAGGACAGAACAGAGGAGTGAACAAGGAGGACGCTTAGGAGAAGAAGAGCTGAAGTTGAATCAGGCAGCATCGCTGTAGTCGGAAGCAAAAAGATAGAAAAGGAATTAACTGTTTTTTACATAATGCATGACATTTTTGTTATTTTTATGACTTATTTATATACAACATATAATAAAGTTATACATTTTATTTGAAGGAGTGTGCATAAGACTGACATGACATTGCCATAAACATTAAGGAGTTTTCATGAATATTTATGACGGTTCTCATTAAATGTCATTCAGTAAATAATGACACTTTTCATGCAAATTTGACATTATTTAAAAAGTCTTTGTAATGGCAACTTGACATTAACCATTTATTTATCAAAATTTTGTAATGTAATAATACACAAAGTTACATAACATTTAAAATTTTGATAATTAACTATTATGACATATTTATGACAGATGATGATTCTCAATTAATGTCAAGTTGTCATGACCGTCAAAGTGTTACAGAAAGGGTTATGCTAACAAATGCAAGAATAAAAATTACTGATCAGAGATACATATGTGAAAATGTACGTAAAAGATCAAAAGCTTGTATGAATTAAATGCGGGATTGTTTCAAAAAAATATTTAAATGTATTTAATACATGGGTAAATATCTGTTTACACAACCATTCATTTTAACATTTTAACATAGTCACCCATTGAATTTAGAGGGTCTGGCTGACAGATACATTTAGGATCTGCTGCTAACACATGACTTTAATCTGAATTGAATACAAGTCAGACTTAATGGTTAAATATTGTTTAAACATATTGTGAATATTACTTATCCATGTATTAAATACATTTACATATTTATCGAAACAATGACACATTTAATTCATACATGCATTTGAACTTTTATGTACATTTTTATATATGTATGTTTGTTCAGTTATTTTTTATTTTTGCATGTGTTAGCATAAGCTACTATCACATTTTTGAGTTAGAGCATATTTGTTATTGGGAGCAGCAGTTATTGATGGTGAAACATTAGTAAACAGTTCTCGCCTTTGTGCGATCTTAACATTGTTTTTACTCCCCTTGACCTACGGGTCGAAATGACCCGCCCTAACAAAAGCACCAAAATAAAGCAGCTTACTTGAATTTGAAACCCCCCCTTTTTTTTTTTTTTTTTTTGCATGATGGAACAATCTGTTATTTATCAATTTAACTCAATTTAATTAATTTTTATCATGTATGTTTTTGTTACACAATACAAAAAAAAACAACAGTGTCCATCCATCCATCCATCCATCCATCCATCCATCCATCCATCCATCCATCCATCCATCCATCCATTTTCTTTACACCCTTGTCCCTTAGTGGGGTCGGGAGGGGTGCTGGTGCCTATCTCCAACTAATGTTCTGAGCGAGAGGTGGGGTTCACCCTGGAGAGGTCGCCAGTCTGTCGCAGGGCAACACAGAGACACACAGGACAAACAACCATGCACACATACACTCACACCTAGGGACAATTTGGAGAGGCCAATTCATGTTTTTGGACTGTGGGAGGAAACCAGAGTACCCGGAGAAAACCCACACATGCACAGGGAGAACATGCAAACTCCATGCAGAAAGACCGGGGCCGGGAATCGAACCCAGAACCTTCTTGCTCCAAGGCAACAGCACTCAATCAACAGTATTACATTTTATTTATTTATTTTTTTACCACAAACTAACTGCCATAAGTTTTCTTTTACACAATAAGGGTTTA